GACAGGACAAGGGGCAACGGGCGCAAACTGAAGCACAGGAAGATGAAGAAGAACTTCTTCCCTTTGAGGGTGACGGAGCCCTGGCCCAGGCTGCCCAGGGAGGTTGTGGAGTCTCCCTTTCTGAAGATATTCAAGCCCCGCCTGGACAAGGTCCTGTGCAGCCTGCTGTAGGTGACGCTGCTTCAGCAGGGGGGTTGAACTAGATGACCCACAGAGGTCCCTTCCAAACCCTAACATTGTAGGATTCTATTCTGTCATTCTAAATGTCGAGGCTGAATCCTTTCCCTCAGCACGTGTACAGGACATCCCACTCTGTCACTTTCTGGTTGTCCTCTCTAATGATGGGACAAAGAAAGCTGATTTTTCTTGCTAAGTTTTCTCTGACAGGAGAAATGACATTGCAGAAAAAAAGAGTTTCTCCCCAGCTGAGGGAGGAATCATAGTAATGACTTCATCCTCTTTCACAGCAGGTTCCCCTGGAGACTAAAAGACACCTCAAGGGAGCCCAGAGGGGGAAGAAACAGAGACACATTGAGCTGGTCCTCTGCTGCTGAGCTGGGGCTGAGCTTCTGGGATGGAGTGAGCTCATGGCAACCAAGAAGCACTGCAGAGAGACAGCTCTGCCCAGGAGCAGCTTCTCTGCAAAGCACAGCGGGGCTGAGGGCACTGCCTGGGGGCAGCGAGGGGAGAGGAACGAGTCAGAGAGAGCTTAAAGGCAGTCTGGGGTGGGAGGATGCTGGAGCTCACTGGGGGAGAAATCTTATCAGCCTTTGATATGGTAAGTCTCTGCGTGAAGGGAAACGTATCTGCAGTTTGTGGAAAGCTCTCCTAAAACTGGCACACCCCCAGCCTGTGGGATGCACCGTGAGGAATATCACAGTTTCTCTGTTGTGGAAGAGGAGGATGTGCTGCAAAGCAGGGACTGCCTGCTGCACCCTCAGAGGGACAGGGCCTATCAGCTGCCTTCTCCCAAGAATGGCTGCAGGTTTTGAAGGTGGATGTGCAGCCTGGGCTGCCCCAGGCTGTCCAGGGGGTATCTGAAAGGGAATGTCAAAGGAGGGATTACTGTTCAGCTCTCCTGCCACATGCACATTTCCCTCTGAGAAGCACAGGTGCAGAGAGCAACTGCCTGGCAATGCTGGTGTCTGGGAGGTGGCACGCACGGCTGGGTAAGGGTAGCAGTGTGCTGAGTGCCCAGCTGCCTCTGTCCTGGCCTCTTTCAGCTACCACCTCACTGCATTTTTGCTTATTGCTCCACTTGTCTGGTGTTGAAGTTGTTCCCTTGTTCTCTCAGTCAGGCTCTCTGGGGATGGAGTTTCAGCTGCAGAGTCAAACACTGATCTTGTGGGTCCTCCCGTGCAAGTGTGTCCATGGGAATGAAGTGTCCCAGTTCTCTCTACACTGTGGGATTGTGGGCAGTGATGAGACTTGGGAACAAGCTAGTCTTCTCTTAATCAGATGCCATCGTTAGGACACTTGACTGTCTTCTTGAGGTGTTCTTCCAAGCTGTGAGATGCCCTCAAGAATGAAAATCTTTCTCATAACAGAATTGTGTTATCTGAAAGGCCCAATGAAGCAGCGCAGAGATTCTATGCCTCACCGAGGAAATGCTGTTGGGTGATAAAATGAGTCACATGTGTCCTTGTGTGGGAGGTGCTGAGACATTGAGAAAGGGTGAGATGTTCAGTGGTCTTCTGTGGATCCCTCTGCTCTCAGGAGAGTCTGGTGGCTTTTCAGGTTAACATGGGAGGGCAATAACTCTCAATCTCAGAATGGTGTAAGCCCAGTGCAGCTGGGCAGCTCTGTTCTCCCTGAGTGCAGCAGAAATGCTGAGGGTTTCTGACATCCCAGAACACTCCTCAGGTGAGATGAGGAGAGCTGTCAAAAAACCCCACACCTTTCAAACTGCTTCTGCTGTCCCGGGTCCTTAGCACTGGTAGTGCAGATGCTGACAAGAGCTTATCCATCAGGAGCAGTTTCATCTGACAAACAGCAGGACGGGCCCCAGTCCCAATATGCCCATGAAGCCACTGCTGCAGAGCAGAATGGACTCCCCAGCAGCCTGTGGGCAGAGATTCTGCTCCTCACGGCACATTCAGCCAGCACCAACCAGAGCTACAGCCAGAGCTTAAAGAAAGTCTCCTAAAAAATGAAGGGGTGGGGGTGTAGCAGAGGAAAAGTCTGCAATAAATGGCTCAGAGAAGAATCCCCTAAATTCTCAGTGTCTTTTCCTTCTTGGACTGTGTTCCTATGCCCAGAGGGATCAAATGTCCAACAGCAGCTCCAGCACTGAGTTCTTCCTCCTGGCATTCGCAGACACACGGGAGCTGCAGCTCTTGCACTTCTGGCTCTTCCTGGGCATCTACCTGGCTGCCCTCCTGGGCAACGGCCTCATCATCACCACCATAGCCTGCAACCACCACCTCCACACTCCCATGTACTTCTTCCTCCTCAACCTCTCCATCCTCGACCTTGGCTCCATCTCCACCACTCTTCCCAAATCAATGGCCAACTCCCTCTGGGACACCAGGGCCATCTCCTATGCAGGATGTGCTGCCGAGGTCTTTCTCTTTGCCTTCTTGGCTGGAGCAGAATTTTCTCTTCTAACCATCATGGCCTATGACCGCTATGCTGCCATCTGCAGACCCCTGCATTATGGGACCCTCCTGAGCTTAAAAGCTTGTTTCCACATGGCAGGAGCTGCTTGGGGCAGTGGGATCCTCAATGCTACCCTGCAAACTGTCAGTACATTTTCACTCCCACTCTGCCAGGGCAATGCCATAAATCAGTTCTTCTGCGAAATCCCCCAGATTCTCAAGCTCTCCTGCTCACACTCCTACCTCAGGGAATCTGGGATCCTTTTGGTTAGTGTCAGTTTAGCTTTGGGATGTTTTCTTTTCATCATGCTGTCCTATGTGCAGATCTTCAGGGCCGTGCTGAGGATCCCTTCTGAGCAGGGACGGCACAAAGCCTTTTCCATGTGCCTCCCTCACCTGGCCGTGGTGTCTCTGTTTATCAGCACTGCAGTGTCTGCCTACCTGAAGCCCCCCTCCATCTCTTCACCATCCCTGGACTTGGTGGTGGCAGTTATGTACTCAGCGGTGCCTCCAGCACTCAACCCCCTCATCTATGGCATGAGGAATCAGGAGCTTAAGGATGCCCTATGGAAAATGGCCCAGCTGATGCTGTTTCACCAACAATAATCTGCCTCCCATTCTCTGCACACTTCCCAGAGTTTATCTCAGGCCACAAAGATGTCCCTGGGCAGGGCCACACTGCAGGACAGAGCTGAGTACACAGCAGGTGTGTTGTGTTCTGTGGGCATTGACAGGGATGAGACCCAGGGACAGAGAAAAAACTCTCAGCAAGGACAAGCTCCAGGCAGCAGAGATACAGGCAGTGATGAAGAAGGACCTGCTCCCATAAACGCCATGGGAAGGGGGATTCGGGCACCTCCTTGTCATCACCTGCAGTGCAGATGGAATTCCCAATCCAACCCCTGATCTCCTCTGCTACTCAGCAGAACCCCTCCCCCTAAAGCCATGGGGTCCAGGTCATGAGTCACTGCCTCGCCAGCTGGACCTCCAAGTGAAGAGTTCCTGGAACATGGGACACCAGAAAAGGTGCTAAAAGCACTTGCCCTTACAGTGTCATCATCTGAGAGGCAGTGAGAACAACTGCATAAGGAGGCAGCTTCGCAGCACGCTCATATGCCTTTCTGTCCTCACTTTACTCTTTCTGGAGCATTGCAGTGTTCTTCCCTGTATCTCCACTTGTCTCTGGTGCTCCTGCTCTCTGGGGCTGGGCTGGGGATGTGGGTCAATTTTTGTTCTGGCACTGACGCTGGCGGCCCTACCCCAGAGATATCTTCATGGAGAGCTCATGCCCAAACTGCATTTTAAGCTCTGACAAACCACATCATTCAACTGGTAGTCATGGAGAACAAGCAGACTCCTTCCTCCTTCAGCCCAGGGAGGGGAGTTTCTATGCGTAATGACACGTTTTTATCCTGAGAGAAATCTCCCCTAAACTGTCACTGTCTTTTTCTCCTTGGACAGGTGCCCATGTCCAGAGTCACAAAATGTCCAGTCGTAGCTCTGTCACCCTGTTCCTCCTCTTGGCATCTGCAGACACATGGGAGCTGCCGCTCTTGCACTTCTGGATCTTCCTGGGCATCTACCTGGTTGCCCTCCTGGGAAATGGCCTCATCTTCACGTCTGTAGCCTGCAACCAGCACCTCCAAACCCCTATGTACTTCTTCCTCCTTTATCTCTCCATTCATGTCGTTGGCTTCATCTCAGCCACTCTTCCCAAATCCATGGCAAATTCACTGTGGGACACCAGGGCCCTTTCCTACTCAGGATGTTCTGCCCAGTGTTTTTTCTTTTTGTTTTTGATGTCAGCAGAATTTTTTCTTCTCACACTCATGTCCTATGACCGCTATGCTGCCATCTGCAAACCCCTGCACTACGGGACCCTCGTGGGCAGCAGAGCTTGTGTCCACATGGCAGCAGCTTCCTGGGGCACTGCGTTTCTCCATGCTTTGCTGCACACTCATTTTCCATACCACTCTGCCAAGGCAATGCTATGGACCAGTTCTGTGAAATCTCCCAGATCCTTAAGCTCTCCTGCTCACACTCCTACCTCAGGGAAGTTGGGCTTGTCATGTTTAGTGCTTGGTGGTGTTTTATCTTCATCTTGCTGTCCTATGTGCAGATTTTCAGGGCCGTGCCGAGGATCCCCTCTGAGCAGGGATGGCACAAAGCCTTTTCCATGTGCCCACCTCACCTGGCCGTGGTGTCTCTGTTTCTCAGCACAGACATGTTTGCCTACCTGAAGCTCCCCTCCATCTCTTACCCATCCTTGGATGTGGTGGTGGCTATTCTGTATTCGGTGTTTCCTCCAGCAGTGAAACCCCTCATCTACAGCATGAGGAACCAGGAGCTGAAGGTGTCCATCATGAAGGTTACTACAGGGATGGTTCTCAATAGTGGTAAATGTTCCATCACTCTTCAGGAATGTCTCCCATAGTGCCTCACTGGAGGCCTGTCCTTCGTCTGCTGTTCTGTCCTCTTTTTTTTATCATTATCTGTATTGTTATTCTTTTTTATTATTTTATTATGTAAATATCTGAATCCATCTTACTTCTCCGCTGCTGAATGAGGCGGGTGTCCTGGTGACGGAGGATGTGGAGAAGGCAGAGCTACTGAATGCCTTCTTGCTTCAGTCTTCAGTGCTAAGACTGGCCCTCAGGAATCCCAGGCCCCGGAGGTAAGAGAAGAAGCCTACAGAGAGGACGACTTTCCCTTGGTCGAGGAGGACTGTGTGAGGGATCGCTTAAGCGATCTGGATGTCCACAAATCCATGGGCCCCGATGGAATGCACCCACGAGTGCTGAGGGAGCTGGCAAATGTACTTGCTGAGACACTCTCCATCATCTTTGAGAGATCCTGGAGGACAGGAGAGGTGCCCGAGGACTGGAGAAAGGCGAATGTCACTCCAATCTTCAAAAAAGGAAAAGGAGGACCCAGGGAGCTACAGGCCGGTCAGCCTCACCTCCATCCCGGGAAAAGTGATAGAGGCGCTTATAGGACCCAGGGAACTACAGGCCGGTCAGCCTCACCTCCATCCCGGGAAAGGTGATGGAGCAGCTTATCCTGGAGGCCATCATGAAGCAAGTGGAAGAAAAGAAGGTTCTCAGGAGTAGTCAGCATGGATGCACCAAGGGGAAATCATGCCTGACCAATCTGATAGCTTTCTATGATGACATGACTGGCTGGGTAGACGAAGGGAGAGCCATGGATGTTGTCTACCTCGACTTCAGCAAGGCTTTCGACACAGTCTCCCATGATATCCTCCTAGGGAAGCTGAGGAAGTGTGGGCTGGATGAGTGGTCGGTGAAGTGGATAGAGAACTGGCTGAATGGCAGAACTCAGAGGGTTGTCATCAGCGGCGCTGAGTCTAGTTGGAGGCTGGTGACAAGTGGTGTCCCTCAGGGGTCAGTACTGGGCCCAGTCTTGTTTAACTTCTTCATCAACGACCTGGATGAAGAGTTAGAATGTACCCTCAGCAAGTTTGCTGACGACACCAAACTGGGAGGTGTGGTAGATACACCAGAAGGCTGTGCTGCCATTCAGCGTGACCTGGATAGGCTGGAAAGCTGGGCAGAGAGGAACCTGATGAGGTTCAACAAGGGCAAGTGCAGGGTCCTGCACCTGGGGAGGAACAACCTCATGCACCAGTACAGGCTTGGGGTGGACCTGCTGGAGAGCAGAGAGGGACCTGGGTGTCCTGGTGGACGACAGGTTAACCATGAGCCAGCAGTGTGCCCTGGCTGCCAAGAAGGCCAATGGGATCCTGGGGTGCATCAAGAAGAGTGTGGCCAGCAGGACAAGGGAGGTTCTCCTTCCCCTCTACACTACCCTGGTGAGGCCTCATCTGGAGTACTGTGTCCAGTTCTGGGCTCCCCAGTTCAAGAAGGATGAAGAGCTACTGGAGAGAGTCCAGCGGAGGGCTACAAGGATGGTGAGGGGACTGGAGCATCTCCACTACGAGGAGAGGTTGAGGGAACTGGGCTTGTTCAGCCTGAAGAAGAGAAGGCTGCGAGGGGACCTTATAAATGCCTACAAATATCTGAAGGGTGGGTGTCAGGAGGATGGGGCCAAGCTCTTTTCAGTGGTGCCCAGCAACAGGACAAGGGGCA